ACGTATACAGCAGCAGTCCTTCATGAAGTTCACATTCTAATGGAGAGGAAGATGACAAACGTAGGACATGATAAGGACTTTTCTTTTGCCTTGAATGCCTTCCCCTTCCATCAGTACTTTTGGGTGATTTAGAATTAATTTTAATTTGTTCACATTCTAGCTAGTTGTCCCTATATTTACTGAATAATTATCTCTTCCTTGTTGATTTCAAATGCAATTTTATCATATATATTGTTATATGTGTTTCTACATATGTTTATCAACCCTTCCATTGGTTTGTCTTCTTGCACACATACCGTACTGTTATAGTTACTATACAGTACTCCCCTGTTATCCATGGGGGATACATTTCAAAACGCTCCCTCAGTGGATGCCTGAAACTATATAGTGTATATAGGGTTGGTTAATAACCCTATACTCTATATATACTATGTTTTTTTCTATATATACCCTTTCACTTAAAGGAAGCACTTTACAGCTTCTCTGTGTCATGTCTGAATTGCTAGCATCACTAATCTTGAGCTTTGGGGTCATTATTAAGTAAAATAAGGGTTATTCAAACACAAGCATGGTGATATGGGCCAGTTGATCTGATAACCGAGATGGTGGCTCCTACGTGGCTAACAGGTCGTGAGCTTATACAGTGTGGATACATTGGACAAAGATGGCTCATGTCCTAGGCAAGTACGAGATTTCGTCACACTACTCAGAACGTCACACAATTCAAAACTTATAAATTATTTATTTCTGGAATTTTCCATTTAGTGTTTTTGGACCGTGGTTGACCTTGGTCAACTGAAACCACAGATAGCAAAATCATGGATAAGGAGGACTACTGTATCTTTATATCAAGCACGGGCAAACTACAGCCCACAGGTCAAATCTGGCTCACCACCTAGGTTTTTATCAAGTTTTAGCAGAACACAGCCACACTCATTTGTTTATGTATTGTTTATGGTTGCTTTTGAGCTACAGTGGCAAAGTAGTTGCAACCGAGATCGTCGAGCTCAGAAAGTCTAAAATATTTATGAACTGACCCTCTACAGAGAGTTTACCAACCTCTGTTTTACCCTATGTATTGATATCTGATAGGGTAAGTTCTTCCTCATTCTTTTCCAACTTTCTTGGCAAGTCTAGCATGTTTGTTCTTTCAGATGAACTTTAGAACTAATCTGCCAAGCTTGTTTGATTCCCTTCCTTTCCCCACCTCTTTCTTGGGGCGGGGAACTGGGATAAAGAAGAGGAATTTAATTGCATTTAATTTGTAGTTTAGTAAAGGGAGATGTGTTTGATTTATAATACTGGGTCTTTTCATTTCAGAAATAGAGTATCTCTACATTTACGTATTTCAGTAAACTTTCATTTGAATGTTGCATGTTTCAGTTTATTCCTACACATATTATTGCTTTTTGTTGCTATTATAATTGAGGTCACCTCCCAGCTATATTTTACAAGTAACTATGAGTTAAAGGAAAGGTCTTGATTTTTCTGTATTCAAATTGTTTCTGACCCTTTTACAGAAGGAAACTCCTATTAGAACTGTTAATTTTAAAATTTGATTTTTTTTTTTTTTTGGTTGATGGTCATTGTCTGAACTTACCCATAATTGTTTCATCCTGAATATTTATAACTCTGTCCATATTGTGGGGTTCTGTACCTAGGGTAGTATTGGAGAATGGACTCTGACCTCTCAGAGGCATTCATTTTTTTCTTTTATATTATATAGGTCACAGCAAATGGTAATAAAAACAAACACCAGAAACTTTATGCTCAGTCAACCTTTGTTGCATGTTTTAAAAATACCCAGAAGATAATTTAAGCAAGCTATTTATCAAGCAGGCTGGGCCTTTTTACAAACACATTTGTTGCTTTTAGTGCAGAATATAGAGTTTGCATGTCACACAGGAGAATCAAACCCAGTCACTGCTTTCCTGTGGAGAGCCATTTGATCATAGAGTAAAGGTGACTTAGCCCCGCATTTATCCTTTGGAACTGAAATATGAGCCAGAGATTTTTATGAATCAGTTAGTGCTTTCCTAAGTATGTTCTCTGTAAAGCATTTGCTCTTTACCCTTACTTTAACTTCTAGTCCTTAAATGTGAAATCTGTTTGCGATTTTGAGGTCTATTACTTGCCCTGAGCACTGAACAGATGAACCATAAATTTAGTGTGTGTTAACCTTTGTGGATTTATCTTTTAATGCCATTTTTGTCTTTTTTCCTTGAATTTGTGTCTCCTTAGCTTCTTCATGAAACTAAAGAAAATGTATTTATGTTGGTTCCTTTTGTTTTTATGTGTGTGTGTGTGTGTGTGTGTGTGTGTGTGTGAAGTGATAATGAGGCGGTGATAGTAGTAGACATCTGATATGGAAATGGAGAATTGCTGTCATATATTATGTGCTTTGTAAAATGAACTTTGTCACCCTCATTGCCTGTAAAGTGAAACTTCATGTGCAGAACCTGGTCTTAAACATTTCTGTATATTTTTTCCACTGTGTGCTGGTTATCTTTGACCATCATTCTGAACATACTGCTGTATGAGTATAGCAGTGCTGTCTATCTTAGGCTGTGGAGGTGTATCAGGCCATGTGCCTCATTCACAGAGGGAGGGAACGCCAACTTTGGGTTTCTGAAATGGGGCTTTATGGGACCTGTGGAAATTAGAGACCATTTTAGATAGCTGTTTGGTGTGGAAAATGGTATAAGCAAATATAGTGGTAATTGATATCTTTTATTGAGCAATTGTTATGGTCCTGGCATTGTAATGAATGTCTACCACATCTAGGTATTGTAACTTCATTTTACAGATGAGGACATCGAAATTTCGTTTAAGTAGCTGGTAGAGCTAAGATTCAACTCGCTGTCAGACTCTAGAAAGAGGTACTTTGGGGCAGGAACTCTGTGTTTGTGTGTGTGTAAGGATTTAGCAATTTTTACTTGTTTATATTCTCTTAGGTGACATTTGAATTAACGTCGGGTGGTGAAGAAAGTATAGCATGGGAGGCCTGGAAACCACATTGCTCTGTGATCTTTGGCAAGTCCCTTTCTCTCTCCCCTCCTGTGAGGCCTCAGTTAAAAAAGAGAATCGAGATCCTTAAGTTTTCTGTTTTTGTTCTTTGGGGGCCCATGAGTTTAACTCAGGAATTAAATTCAAGATGATGATGGAATGTATCGTTTGTCTTCCTGTTTTTAAATTGAGAATACAAAAGGGGGTGGTTTTGGCTCCTAGTAGATGCAGGGGGAGGGGATGGTGTATGGTTAAACTCCCCATTGTGCCTTGCAGGTCAGGAGAGAGCTGTTGCTTCTAGCTTTAGAGATCTCTCTGTTTATTAAATATAAACACTAAGTAAATACACTCACATACATATACATACACTCACACACTTCTAATACTGTACAACTTCTCTGTGCAATGCACTAATTAAGATGGAAAAGGTTCTGTGCTGCATATGTCACCATTTTAAATATGGCTAAGCTATTTAGATGCCAAACAATTAACACTTGTCTGTATTCGTGGCAATTTAGAGCCAGAGGCCCTGGTCTGGTTGTTTCTCAGCCAAAAACTCTCGTGGAACATTCTCATTGGCTGTGACTGTTAGGTGCTTGGCTGTGGTCAGGTAGGCTGGAGGAGTACATGTGGACGGGCACATGTGTGGCCTGCTGCTCCTGACAATGGAGTGTGAATGTCAGGGCTCTGCTGCCTGCTGGCCCTTCTGCCCTGTAGGCCAGCCAAGAGCTGGATTCCTGCCACAATTTAGAAAAGAAAGTAAAGCTTTCTAAATACTGGCCGGGAAATCAGCCTGCTTTCCAGATTCAGAGCAGCCGCCCAGAGTCTTGTCCCCCCCGCACAGACAACTTGTATTGTAGTCTTCTCTTTGGGTTTGTTCTTGGCATCTGATACATGTCCCAAATAAAATATTCCAGTGAAGGGGGATTTTAGAAAATGGGTTTTTTATTAGAATGGCATAACCTGGAGCATTGCAGTATATTTTCAAGGTTACTTTCAAGACTTACCTTTATGATAGTAAAGAAGAGCAACTAATGTAAATCCTGATATTTTGTGAAAATACATTTGTTGATGCTTATTCAAATATGAAATTATAGATTCTTAACTCACTTTTACATGGCCTAATGTGTATATAAGCATACTTTCTAAACATCATTTGAAATTAGAAATTCAAAAGCCTAACAGTTTAATTGAAAGTTTTATGTTGTGTAGAATTCTAAGATGGAGCAACTTAATTCTTCTCATATGTATAATTTAGCGTGTAATTCTGCAACCATTAGAGATGATTCACTAGCTGATGTATTCTTTGTTCTGGACATGTTTCTCTATGAGTGTGATTTATGCTTCTGTGTTTCTGGTTCTGTGGCACATTGAATATTGTGGTACAAGTAACCATAGCCTCCATCACAGGGCTCAGCCTACCAGACTCAGAGTTTGCAGGATAAATCTTTGATTTGTCTGTTTGACTAATGGGAGGGGGAGGGGCTTAGATTCCTCTTCTGCTCTCACTGTTGTATTAAAGCCAACAAAATAATATATTGTAAGAACTGCTCTCTTGTTGGGAGCTTGATATTATTCTAGTAATTCTGGGGAAGAGAAAAGGAAAGAGAAAGTGAACACGTTTCATTTGAGATCTACTATTTGTGTAACTTGTTTAATTTGCTAACATTATTGATATTTTTCTATAAAGGTCAGGTTGATTGCTGGTAGGATTTTATCACTATTGAAGTATTTTGTTTTACCTTACAATTCACATGAAAATTTCATGAACTTTAACATTTGGTTGGGGTTTAATTTATTGTCAGACTGTTTCTAGAAGATAGGTCAGTAGTTGCATGTTGTATTTTATTTAATGCAGATCAAGTTAATGGGGATACTATTCAGTTGTATTAAAACATTTGCTTATCATGTCTGAGCTTTCTGTTTTTCTTTTTTATAGTCTTTGCAATATGGGACATAAATGACACTGAATTTTCCTTTTTTTTTTTTTAAAGACTTTCAGCTGAATTCTCATCTCTCAACACTGGCAAATATTCATAAGATCTACCACACCCTTAATAAGCTAGTAAGTCAATCTTTTATCGACAAAGCTGCCAACTGTTTATGTTTAAATAGTTGTTTTAAATGTAGTTGATAAAAACTTAGGTTATGGATATTAAGATAGCAGCTGTTTATGAAAATATTGAATTTTAAAACTTGTTGTGATGCTATGTGATTTATTGGTAATAATGAAATATTTTTTGCAGAATCTAACGGAAGACGTTAGCCAAGACGATCACCAAACAGGTACCTATCTGTAAATACGAACACTACTCAATTTAAAATAAACTTCCTAATATAAAGTTACAAATACCAGCTGAGAATGCTCTACATTGTAATACATTCCATTAACAAGTTGTTACTTGGTTGAGGATTTTTTCAGAGTGTATGAGGCAGCCATGTTACAGTTCCTTCCCAGTGTGAAATCTGTTCTGGGGCTCTGGCTATGACAGAGTACTTCTGTCCCTTTAAAGGGGGTGGGATTCTCCCTAGTGGTTTCCAGATATCATTTCTCTACTGCAGTATTTTAGTTTACATTAAAAATTCACTACAGTGATGCAGTTTGAAAGGTATTCCATAAGTGTTTGTTGGATTGAGATGGAAAATGATTTGATAGGTATGTAGGGTGTATGTATGTGTTGCATAGGTCCTGAGGACTTATAAATGGGAAAATTGAAACTTAATTATTGTAAATGATTCTCTAGCCCTGTGAGTCTCAGACTTTAGTTAGCATTATAATCACTTGGGGTGGGATTAGTAAAACAGATTCCTGGGTTCCACCCCCAGTGTTTCTGATCATGTAAATTTGGGGTGGGATCCCAGAATTTGCATATTTGACAAGCTCCTAAAAGATTCTGATGAAGGTGGTCTGGAGACCACACTTTGAGAACCACGTCTCTAAACTGTTGAAAATCATGAAGTTTAGAAACTTGCACTTGATTTAGAGTTAGTAAAACTTCCAGCACAAATTAAAATATATTTAAAATTTTTTGAAAATTACCGCAATAATGTATGAATACATGCTTGTTGGAGAATTTTGAATAGCATAAAAGTAAATTTAGGATTAAAGAGTGACAGTCCTCCTTTATGTCTCCCAGTCCAGCCTTCCCCCAGTTCAAGTTTGATCTTTCAGACATTTTTATATGTGCATATACTTTTATAGTTGTGGCTTTGTATTTAGCATTGATGAGACCATACTGTACGTACTATACAGCATCATTCTTTTTCCATTTAATGGTGTATCTTGGAGGTTGTTGGGATTGAGAACTCTCCCCATCCTCCCCTCCAAATTGGTTCATTATCAGTTGAAATTAGGTACAAGATGGAGATTGAAGTAACAAGTTTATTGGAAAACACAGCTTAGTTTGTAGCATAAATGCAGAAGCTCTTCAGTATTTCACCTGAATCAGATACTCATCTTACACTCAGTCACCGCCGCAGCTAGATAAGCACAGGCCAGCACACCCTCTGCTCCCTCTCTAGCTCCCACTTGTGACAGTGGAAGTGTCTGAGTTTCTGTCGGCAGGCCCATCTGAAAGGGAGTTCAGAAGGGGCTCAGACCCTCTACATTTCCTTCTCCCTGGATCACCAGTTAGATCAGAGACTCCTCCTCCCAGGGAAAGGAGTGAGACAAGGGGGCCGAGACTGTGCCAGGAGTGTTCTGAAGGCCAGGCCACAGAGTGTCCCTACACAGGATCTTGTTTTAGTAAAGGTAGATCAATTCACAGAGAGTCAAAAGCAGTTTCCTTAGTAATTTCAAAGCAGTGTATGCACATGGTTTTAAAAGAAGTGTTGATGCCTGGCTGGGGTGGCTCAGTGGTTGAGTGTTGACCCATGTACCAAGAGGTTGCCAGTTTGATTCCCGGTCAGGGCACATGCCCAGGTTGTGGGCCAAATCCCAGTGGGGGGCATGTAGGAGGCGGCCAATAGATGTTCTCTCTCATTGATGTTTCTCTCTCTCTCTCTCCCTCTCCCTTCCTCTCTCTCTCAAAATCAATAAAGAAAAAAAAATGAAGTGTTGAAAAGGTATAAAAATTTATGGTTTCTATCCCATTTTATCACCTCAACTCCCATTCCCACTACTACTGCTACTACACATTTGACTCTCTAGAGGTAACTCTTACATTCTTGTATTTGTTTCCCAGATAGTGATGGTGGTGATGATGATGATGATGATATATTTTTCCTCCTAAATACAAGTGTGCATCTGTATGTGCCTCTTGTTTTTGTCACTCAGTATATTTTGTAGATCTTCTTATAGTAGCATGTTTATAAAGCATTTGCTTTATTTTTTAATGAATGCATAATTTTCTAATTCATGGATATATCATAAGTGTGTTTAACTTTTAGCTACTACCAGTAATGCTGAAATAAAAAATTCAAGTTAGTTTTAATAGTTAAAAAAGCCTGGCCGTTGTGGCTCAGTGGTTGAGCATCGACCCATGCACCAAGAGGTTGTCGGTTCGATTCCTGGTCAGGGCACATGCCCGGGTTGTGGGCCAAATCCCTAGTGAGAGGTGTGCAGGAGGTGGCCAGTCATTGTTCTCTCTCATCAATGTTTCTCTCTCCCCCTCTCCCTTTCTCTCTCTCTAAAATCAATAAAGAAAAATAATTTTTTAAAAAAAGCGCACTTCTCTCCTATTTTGGGCCAGTATGTTGGTAGGCTTTGGGGATATTTTTAAACTTAAGTGTAGTTTTTATTTTTAAAACTGAATTTCGTCTTTGTAAAGTCTTTAGGTTGACTTCCCCTTAGCTAAGGTAATACAACCTCTAAGTTCTGAATCTTGTACATTATGTAGTTAACTTTGAACTTTCGATTAAAATGAGTATGGTTACTGTTGTAATTTCACATTTAAACGTTTAATCTGAATGTGGCAATTTAATAACTGTAAGTTATAATTAAGGAAAATGAAAGTGGAAAGTGTATTTAGCCTCTTTCACCTCCTGGGGATAGTGGCTGTGTCTGATGTTTGGTTATGACATGCTGGCGCAGTGCCTGGTACCTCCTCAGTGCCTGTCAATGTCAATTAGCGTCAGTAATTTCTTAGAGTTGTCAATTTCATGAACATTTCTCTATCTGTTACAGCACCAGTGTGCTTACCATACCTGATGGAGTATGCTTTAAAAATTAAACAACATAAAATCTATAATGTTTGGAAATCTGAGAAAGTTAATCACTGTAATGCCTGTTGGAATCTCTTGGCACAACAATACTCTGAGCAATTGTTATAACGACTGTATATGGAAGAGCCAAACGCCAGGTGCAAAAGAGGCTGGTATCTTCCTGCTCTGTCTCTTCTACCACTTTTCTTTGGTGCTTTTAACCTTTCTCCCACCAAAAATAAATAAATAAAAATAAAAGAGACAGACAAGATTAATATTAGAGAATGCTGGGAGTGAGTAAAAAAAGTTAACGAGGGCAAAAAAAATGGTGAAGCAAGATGGTAGATGTCAGAAGTCAGTATTATTTAGAGAGAAAGGAAAGGAAATTAACTTGTCTTAAATAGTGGGATAAAAATTGCTCATTTAGACACTTAATAGTTTTATTCAGGCAAGCAAGTAGTTCAACGATCTGTTCAAGAAAATGAAATAAAATATTAGGTACTGGTAAGGTGTCTTAAAATGCAATCTGTTTATCAACTCAGATTACTATATCTGTGACATTGTTCAGTGAAAAGTGAGGTTAAAATAGCTAGCTAAAAAGTACTGAAGTGGCACAATGAACCATGTAAAATGTTAGTAAGTGAAACAGGGCTATATGATACAAAAGTCACTAAAGTGAAATTAGTAAGATTTTTTGTATTGGAACATGAATTTATACTAAATTTGGAAAAGTCAGAAAAATAATTGTATAGAACTTTTATTTGGAGATGACTAGAAATTGGGCACCCAATCTTACATGTTTTACAGAAAATAAATCCTAAACAGGACATTTTTTTACTTGAGGCCCACAGCAAAAAAAAAAAAAAAAAAAAAATTATTGAGAATAACATCCTTAGTTAAATCATTATCAAAACAACAAGTTGGGCAGTAGACACTGAAGGGCCTTTGTCTGATTCTGGTAGGCTCAGGTTGCTCTTTAAAATGATTTTCTGGGACCAAACATTAGGATAGATCTGTTGAAAAATGTTGGCAGTATTTCTAATTGTTTAATGTGGGAAGAATGGCTGTATTCATTGAGTACCTGATTTATTTGAAAATATAGTTGGTTAATAGAAGAATTTATTTGTTTCTCTTTGAACACTGAACCAAAAGGAAATAAACCTGAACTCAAATCATAACCTTTGGGTAAAAAATATAAACAGTTTTTTTAATTGCCTTCCTAAGGATCATTTAAATATGAAAGCATCAAAAAAGAGCTTCTAATGATGGGAGAGCTGGGAGGGTTTTCACTCACTGTTCATCTAATATAGAAGTAGACTGAACACCAGAATATCAATCAAGACAATACAATTAAGGGGCCTGAGTCATAGTTTGGGATTACTATTCTACTCTTCCTCATTCTTAATTATTATTATTATAAAAAGGCTTTCCTCTTTCTTATGTTCCTGCCAAACATTTCTTAAAAGATTTAAGGTAGCTCCTCAGAATCTTTTTTTTATCACTGGTTTTCCTTAGTGATTGTTAGAGAATGAAAACTCGTAGCTCTGATAGTTTCAAATGAATTTCTGGGTTTCCTAAAGTTTGTTAAAGTTGCTTTTATTTTAAACATCAGCCTTAATATTTTGCCTCTGCCTGTAATGTTGAATTGTTTGTATTCCAGGAGATACTTTAAAAATAGCTCATTCTTGAAAGCAGATTCCATAACATTCTTGTTTATATTATTTGCTTACTAAATTTTTTTTAGTTTAAAGATAGTTTAATTGAACTATTCTGATACACATTGAGACAATAAAATCTAAATTTAACTCTACAGATAAATATAAATTTGTAGAATATATTTACTTAGATTTAGGTATTTTTATTGCAAAAAGACATCACAGCGTTATTTTAAGAAGCAAACATTCTAGACTATGTGTTTTAAAAAATCCCACCTGCCAAGAAACTTCAAGTGCTTGCTTTACTGAGAAATGGAAAAAAGTCTGAAGTTGTGGTGTATTATCTATTCATAAATGTCTTAAATCTCTGGAAATGTACTTTTTGTTGTTTTTTTAAGCAGAATTTGATTTGCACATGTTAAAGGAACATTTATTCAACAAACATTTTTTGAGAGTCTGCTGTAGGACTCTGAGTGCATGCACCTTATGATTGTTGCACTAAGAGATTTATTGGCTGCTGTGTATGCACGGGTGACCCAAACGGGGCCCTGCAAACCAAGGTGCGCCTTTGTCCGTGCACTTAGAGACCCGCCTTGTTGCCCTTGCTCAGGAAGGGTCCTAAGAGGTTGGATTGGGTAGGGTGTGGAGCATCCAAGCCTTGAATTGTGTTTTCTCTGTATATTTTGTTGATTTGGTTCATGCTGGCAAATTATTTTAAGTACACTTAGTTTTCTGAAGCATTAAAAATGTTTTTTTATGTAGCCTGAAACTGCGCTGTCATTATGGGCTCTGGGGTTCTACCTGAGCAGCTGTGTCCTGTGCGCCGTCACTGGGGAATGAGTTTGACTCATCCTTCCTGTGAGGTGGAGGTGTGAGGTCAGTGAGCCGCGGGTGCCGAGCTGTAAAGAGCATCAGGGAGGTGAGAAGACATCGTTGCTGGTGAAAGATGCCCCCCAGCAGCCACTCGCGTATGCTGAACATTACAGTGGCCGGATCTAAACCAAAGCAGTGGTCCTTAGCTAGAAGACAAAAATGTTGAATAAATGAAAGAATAAAATGGCAAATTCAGGATAATTTGGGGGTCAAATTTGAATAAGTTTTACACAGACACAAGAAAAGGTGATTTGTGAAACCTTTTAACAGAAAGCATTCACCAATAAGGGAAACAAGTAGAGAAAGTTGATAAAGTTGGTTTGTTTACCAAGAACGTGGTACTCTTGAGGTGGGATGCACCGAAAGCCTGACATTAGGCCAGTGTTTCTGGGAAGAAGCAGATGGTGGAGGAGCCAGTGGACTGACCTAAATATTGGTGAAGACATTTTTTATTTATTTATTCATTTATTTATTCTCACCCGAGGACATTTTTCCATTTCTTGTTCAGGTAGCGTGGGAGAGAGAGAGAAACATCGACGTGAAAGGGACACATCGAGTGGCTGCCATCCGCACGACCAACCAGGGCCAGGGACAAACTGCAACCGAGTTACGTGCCCTTAACGGGAACCGAACCCGGGTCTCTCTGGACCACAGGCCGACGCTCTAACCGCTGAGCCAAACTGGCCAGGGCAAGACATTAAAAATAGTGTTCATCGTCCCATGGGCTGAGGAGATCGGTGCATTTCCCTCTGTGTTCTGAATACACTGGTGGAGGCCACTGCCAGAGCCGACGCTCAGAACCAGACTGTGACCATGACTGTAAGGCAATGTCTGTCCTTCACACACACATCCACGGCAGGACTTGAGATTTCAGGCAGACTGTCACTTCTGAGCAGTGTTGCAGGTTCTTCACCTCTATGGCGTGCACTTTTTCATATTGCGAGCCCCAGCCCACGGCACTAGTGGGCAAGAATAAGACTTTTTCTTATATGTTGGCAGTCTGCAAATGCTTGGGTTACTCTGCAGCTCTTGGGACCTTTCTGAATGCGTTAGTTTTGTTTGTAAACAGGACCACTTCAGAGGAAAGGTGAATGAGGTGCTTCCTGGTGGTGGGCAGCACCTTCTCTGGTCCGTTCTCTTCCAGTTCTTGCTGCTGTGGCAGGGAGAGAAATATGGGGGCACCTTGTGTCTCGGAAGAATCCTCTACTCCCTGCCCCAGCGTCCGAAGGACAGTGCCTGGTTGGGCCCCCAAGAATGTGGCTGAGGGTCGTCTTTTTAGCCCTGTTTGGAATCTGCTTCTTTGCTGAAGAAGCAAGTAGGGTCCTTGAACACATATATTGTCCAGTACCTGGCACTAGGCAGACACCTCATTTAGTTGTCTTGTTTTATAACAGAATAGTACTTTTGGCTGCTATTTTCTTGAAGCATATCACCTTGGTAACTTAGCACAATGGTGGAAGCCTAAGTATGAACCAGGATTTAGGTTCTAGCCCTGAGCATTGCCCAGGATTGTGACTATTAGCTACTGACAATGTTTTCCCTGCTTTTTGAACAGCTTTCTAGAAAGAGTTGTTGACGTTCAGTATGTTCACTCCCTCACCTCACACCCTTCCTCAGCCCACTGCAGTTTAGCCTCCACTGTCACTAACCCGTTGCTACTGGACTTGGACTTGATTGCTAAATTCAGGGGGTGCCTTCACTTCTTTCTGAGCTGATTTCTGTGTTCAGCTGATCACTCCCTCCTTGAAACATTCTCTCTTCCTTGGCTTCTAGAACATTACCCTCCCCTAGGTGTTCTCCCTACCCAGGTTTTTACCTTCTTTTCCCAGCCCCTTGATTTTCCACTCTCTCCACGGCTCTGCCCTTAGCTCTCTTTGCTTCTCAGCCTCTACTATTATGGTCTAGTGGAGGGGATACTAAGGAGTGGCAGAGAACTTGGATTTTGCTGCTGGGCTGCTTCAGTCTCAGTCTGAAGTGAGACTGTCAGGGGTTGAATCCCAATTTTGCCACCCACCTAACTCTTTTATTCTCACTTGAGGACATTTTTGCATTTATCTTCAGATAGAGCAGGAGGGAGAGGGGGGAAGAGAGAGAGAGAGAGAGAAACATCGATGTGAGGTAGACACATCGACTGGTTGCCACCCATGCCACCCCAACCGGGCCCAGGGACAAACCGCAACCAAGGCATGTGCCCTTAGCGGGAACTGAACCCAGGACTCTCTGGTCCGCAGGCTGACGCTCTAACCACTGAGCAAACTGACCAGGGCCCACCTAATTCTTTCTGCCTTCATTTTCTCATCTGCATCGGCAGTAATGATGATTCTTTTTTCATAAGCTTATTATGAGGTTAGGAGATTGAGTTAATACATGTAAGTGTTAAGAACAGGACCTGGCTCACAGTAAGGTCTCAATAAGCGTTCCGTATTGTTATTGTCTGTTGTTATTACATTTTAATAATTTTTACCAAATGAAAGGTATACTTGTGAAAACCGTGAATGAAAGTGGCAAATCCTTTTTCAGGTGGCAGAAACAAACTACATATTATTATTATTATTATTTTAAATATTTTATTTTTTTCAATTTTTATTAATTTATTTTTGTTACAGATGTTCCCCCCCCCCGACACCCTCAAACTGCATAGTATTATGGAAATTTTGCTCAAGATCATGTTAGGCTTCTTCCCCCAAAATCCAAATTCTGTTTTTTTCCCTTTTAAACCCCAGACCAGATATCTATTGAAGCTTAAGCATGTCAGGGCTGATACTCCTATGTATTTTATTTATTTATTTATCTATTTATTTATTTTTATTATTTTTTTTTTTATCCTCACTTGAGGACATTTTTCCATTTTTTTGTTCAGATAGAGTAGGAGGGAGAGAGAGGGCGATAGAGAGAGAGAAACATCAACGTGAAAGGGACACATCAAGTGGCTGCCACCCACACAACCCAACCAGGGCCGGGGACAAACGGCAACCGAGGTACATGCCCTTAGCGGGAACCACACCTGGGTCTCTCTGGACCACAGGCCGATGCTCTAACCGCTGAGCCAAACCGGCCAGGGCTCTTATGTGTGTTTGGATTCAAGGTGACTGGTTGGCCTGGCCTTGCCTAATGAAGTACATGCAGGAAATAGCAACATAGTTCCTTTTGAAGGAACATTGGCACGTAAGAGAAGCTGAAAGCCTAGATGATTTATATTAGTATGTTTGGAGAGCAAATTGAAGTTGTGATAATTTCTATTTCTGGTGTGGTTTTGGGGGGAAGGTCTTAACTTATTTGTGTCACTGGTAGGTTTATTCTTGACTATAACATTTTCTCGAAGAAAAACTAAAAAGTTTTTTCTCTCACCTCGTAGTATTTACAGATAGCATCTAAACCCTTTGCAGTACCAGCCATGAAAGTTCCTTGTTTGTAGGGGTATTTTTTGGAAGTGTGATGTGGCATGCCCTAATCTTGTGCCCTTTGACTCCTTGTTTTGTAGGAAGCCTGCGGTCTTGTAGTTCTGCGGACTGCTTCAGTAAAGTGATGCCACCAAGGAAAAAGAGAAGGCCTGCCTCCGGGGATGATCTGTCTGCCAAGAAAAGTAGACATGATAGGTATGGCGCAGACAGTAGGTCAAAATTGATGATTTTGGTGTCAAAGAGGCACAATTCTACCTTGTCCTTGTGGGTCTTCTAAGTGTACAAATGCCAACTGGAACATTGTTTTGGTTCTGCCAGGCAAACTTTCAAAGTGTAATTATTTCATATTATTTTATGTGTGAGTTATAAAATAAAAACACATAAGGTAATTTGAGTTCTCAGAAATTAAAATTTTAGTCCGCTGATCTACCAAAACTGGTGTAGAGTTTCTTTCTTTCCTTTTATGGGCTTGCAGTCTGTGCCCGTTGAGGACCACAGGATTGGTACGTGTTCTCACTGAATACCACCACAGGAATCCTGCAATTGCCTCTGCAGGGGACCTGGGCTGAGTGGCAGAGAGAGAAGCCTGTGCTGAATGCTCTGAGCCTGCTGAGAGTATAGCTGAGCTGAGGTTTATTCTCCGAAGAGTGAGAATTTGTTAGGGACAAAGTTGTTAGAAAATTTGTTTAAAGCACTTCTCCTTCATACAAGTGAACTGTTAATTTTGGTAGCTACAAAGGTCTGTTGGACTTGTTTATTTTAGGCATCTTTATTCTTTCACCCTGATTTTTTTTTTCCTCTATTGATTTTTTTAGAGGGAGAGGAAGAGAGAGAAACATTGATGAGAGAGAACATTGACTGGCTGCCTCCTGCATGCCCCCCACTGGGGATCGGGCCCACAATCTGGGCATGTGTCCTGACTGGGAATCAAACCAGAGACCTCTTGGTGCATGGGTCAGTGCTCAACCACTGAGCCACACCGGCCGGGCTCACCCTGATTTTTAATTCTTTCTGCCTTTTTCTGTCTCCCTTTATTCTGGCTCTCGTTCAATTCACCAATGGACCTTAATTTTCACATCTATAAATCAAGGATGGTTCTGTTTCCTTCTTGCTATGATACTACTAATATGCTACAACTCAGTTGGAGGGATAGGGAGAGGGACTCTGAAAATGTCACTGTTCATAACCCAAATGAGTAGAAAATATCTAAAATAAAATATAGTGGTGATTTAGAAGATAATCACCAGCATGTGTAGACCAGTGCTTTTCAGGTTACTTGATACTTCCTTGGTGGTGTAGATATGATTATCAGGGATTGTTAAATTCTAATAATCACATAGCATGTTGTGACTATGTATGGTGTTTATTGTCTTTTCACCACAGCCTAATATAATTTAGAATGATAACTCCATTTCAAAACTGATAGTGGAATTACAGAAGGGTATGAGGTACTCTTATTGACAGCATTTACATAGACACCCAAGGCTAAGGGAACTATACATAGCATTATCTGAATTTCATTCTTGGTCTTTTTTTTACATACTATAATGTTCGTCCATTTTAAGTGTACAAATTCAGTGATTTTTCACTAAGTTGTTAGAGTTGTGCAACCATCACTACAAACTGGTTTTAGAAGATTTCCATCATCCCAGTTAGATCCCAGATGCCCAGCCCGTTCACACTCACTCCCTGTTCCCGTCCCCCCACCCCAGCCAACCATGAATCTACTTTCTAGCTCTACAGATTGCCTTTTTTGGTCATTTTATATAAGTCGTCTTTTGTGTCTTGCTGCTTTCACTTAGCTTAATGTTTTTTGAGGTTTATCCATGTTATAGCATATGTGTTTTTTTTCTTTTACTGGCTGAGTGATATTTCATTATCCTTTTGTTTATAGAGTATGTTTAAGCAATTCAAACATTACAGTGTCATATACAGGTCTCTAGATTATTGACCAATTAAAGACTTTGAGCTGAGCCCTGGCCAGTTTGGCTCAGTGGAGCGTCGGCCTGTGGACCAGAGAGTCCTGGGTTCCCGCTAGGGGCATGTACCAAAAAAAATTCTTTGAGCTGAGAGAGGAATGTTCAGGCCCAGGATAGAGGCATATCTGTTTGAACCCTTGGACAGTATCCACCTTTGTTTACAGGTATACTGGCTACTTTTTATCGAAGAAAAGAAAACTGGTGGTTTGCAGTTTCAATATCTTACCCCCCTATAACCATGCTTTTTTTTTTTCATTTTGAAATTCAGAATCTCTAATCAGAGGTATACATAGATATTCTGGCAAATGTGTGGGTCATGAATAAATACTCATTAGAAAAGAATTATATATGATTTTTATATACTATGTAAATGAAAGTTATATTCATAAATGTTTATAAATTTATACCTAGGCAATTTATATATAAATAAGGGTAAGAAAAGTATATACTCATATTTTTTCTGTCCAAATGACTCTTTGTAAAGGTACGCCTCCTCTCCCCTCCCCAAGCAGGGAATACTTCCGTCTTCAGCCCCAGTCAGCGTGTAGTAAGAAATTCTTGCTGAAGGTCACACAGTGTTGTAGGAGGAGGCTGCCGTGCTTCCTAGTTTAGTTCTTCAGCTCCTGCTGGCTGTGTCCACCATAGCAGGGAATAGTAAGAGAATAGCGAAGCCAGGGTTTCTCTGAATTTCTCCCTCCCGAGGTTTTAAGGTTATCCTAGTGAAGAGACATCCAAGTGAACACCTCATTTTTTTTTTTCCTGGACGCTTGAACATAGTTTGAGCTTTCTTTTTATTTTCTTAATGTTCCCTTGAGGTGTCTAATATTGATAGGGTCTTCCTTAGTCTGTGCTCTGTGCCCCGCCTGACTCATAAGTTACAGAAATCGGGAGAACTTAATGTGAGAGGAGTGAGTTGTAGGGTCCTCAGTTGAAGAAAACACCACAGACATTTCTTGCTGTATCTCACTATCATGCTGTGCTTAGTTCTGGCTAGTGAGGTAGAAGAACGTCTTTTAAATACCTGTTCTATTCAGTTCTTAATGATTATTTGTTAATCAGAGAAAACCTGGGTGTGACTGTTTAAAACTGTAGTTATAAAAGCGGAAGCTTCCAAATGCAGGAAGTAAAATATTAAAAATATACTTGAAATAGATGAAATAGATATGTGGTTTAGGTAAATGAATAATCTGCTACTTGATTCAGAATCTTTAAATAACTTAAAACTGCTTTCTCAATTTCTAGCATGTATAGAAAATATGATTCAACTAGAATAAAGACTGAAGAAGAAGCTTTTTCAAGTAAGAGGTGCTTAGAGTGGTTCTATGAATATGCAGGTAGGTAATCAATTATATCATCTAAGACCATCCTCATGAAAATAGGAACAACTATGGAGGAGAGTAGGAAATTAAAAAAATGTGTCCTTTCTGAATTTGGTGAGTGTGTGTGTGTGTGTGTCCCCCTGTTTGGGGGAGAGAACATTGTTGAAACAAATCACCAAATGTCCTATTTATAGCCAGCAGCTAGGCCAAAGAATTCCGAACACTAGAAGCAAATTGAAAAGATGAAATGCACTCGGGAGAAATACTTTGGATTGCTAGGAAACCTATTCAAATGCTGGTAAGGGGTGATTATTTGGTTTACACATCGAAGTTAAAATAAGCTTTGCTGCTTGGAACCTTTCTGTAGTGCAACAGAATTTCTTATATTAAGTGTCTATTTTGAAAGATCACTTGGCAGAAAATGTTTGTTTTGTCATTTAAATGTGTTAAATTCAGTCCCATTTTTACAACGTTATAATTGGTTGGCTAGTGTAATACTGAAATCTAGGGTTTGGTTGTTTTTGTAGCTGTGTATGGGATAAAAGAGAGAGAAGGAAAATTTTTCAGACAAGTTTGAGCTGGAGGTTCTTTTACCATTCCTCTTCCCTGACTTATTTTCTATCTACTTGACTTTCCCAGCATCCTTCAGAACAACACTCTTGTCATCAATCCTCCCCCACCCCGCCCCACCTCAGCACAGATCCCTGCTACCTACAGGATTAAAGGACTAGTTCTCTGCCATCCCTTTGTCTGGAGTGCTTTTTTCCATTTTTCCATCTCACAAGATGCTGTACAACTTTAAAGCCCCTGATTAGCTTAATAGCCTTTGTACTTCTCCAGGACATTGTTCATAACTAGTTCTGATACATTTTACTTGGTATCAAAGTGAGGATTCCTCCCATGGCCTGATCTTGCCATCCCCCCTCGCCTCCCATCCTTTTTCTGATAAGACCCTTGCCCCTTTTGGCCACAGAGATTGTTCTAGGGGCTGACAGGTAATCAAGGCCAGGCCAGTCAGATAAAATTTCCTGCAATTATCAGGAAGCTTGGGGGAAGAATCTTTCTCTTCTGGTGTGGACTTGAAAGGATGTGATCCGATTTCCTGTAGTTCACTGGATTTTCATGAGCTACCTCAGTATCTTTCTAGTGAATTCCCCTTCATTACTTGAACTGGTTTGAGCTGATTTTGTTTGCTGGGCATGAACACTAGTACACTTACTGAGTATTAGAATTTATCTGTTTTCACATTAATGTCATAAGGACATGAATCTCTTGAAGACATTTTGTCTTCCTAAGTGAAAGTGTTTGGTACGTGGATACTGAATGAGTGAAGAGTTATCTCATATTTGTATCACTTTGATTATGAAGATCTTTTGCTTTCTTCTTGGCTCACATTTATTGTTATGAAATGAATTATAAAAAGGAAATTTTAAACATAAAAAGAACACTTAATCCCACCACTGTAGCACAGCTATTTTGATTTTTTGTGTGTCTTCCTTTGCAAGTAAGCATAAATTTTTCCATAGTATAATTCATACTTCTGTTTTCTTTAAAAAGCGAGCAGGCTACAATTTTCCTTCTTGTTTGCTTTTCTCTGGCTCAGAAAGATGACATTTGGGATAAAGCTTAAGCCACATTCTTTAGGTTCCTTGAGCTCCCTGCTGGGTGGTTCCTGGTAGTCCATCCTGCAAGATGTTGCTGGGGGTGTGTGGCTTGCTTTGTTTTTATATCTGTCTCCTCCCTTTTCCTTTCTGCCCTGTATCTTATCAGTAGGGAAAATGGTTCGACATTGGGAGTAATCAAAATCCCCAAGTGGTACCTGTTTCACTTTTAATATCCCAACCACATGAATAAAAATTATAGATCAGTATTATTCAGGGGTGACTTACGGGTTGTGCTATAGGATGAGTCTGGAGTGATCTGTGAGGCCAAGCCCCCTTGGAACGAGGAGAGCTTTACCAACCACGGTGTGTGCGCTTTCCCTAGCAGAGCTGGTTTGGGCTGACTCCTGTACTTTAATCTGGAGGGGGTGGAGGGGCGGAGGGGCCTTGGTGTGCAGCTGTTTCACATGGATGGACCTTCAGTTCTTCCCAGAGTTCTCCCTCCACTCCTTGCTGTCTGCTATCCATGGCTTCTGTGGCCTGAGCCCAGCTCTCCAGCTTCTGCCTGGCCAGTTAACCCCAGCTCTGCACATTCTGGGATGTGGACTAATTACTTTTTTAAAATGCCTGTCAACTCACTATCCACTTCTCAGAAATTTAATAAATGAAACCTGCTCTACTGTAGACTCTTTTCTCTTGTTCTCTGTGGTTTGCTCCCTTTTGTGCTTTGGTCCTTTAGTGTGACTTTAGAAAGGATGGTGGGGGGAAGGTGGGGTGCTGCTATTTAGATCTCCATGTGAAACTAGAATCCCACTTTTTTTTTATTAGAATGAAAAAAAAAACAGTTTTACACAAGTAATTTATCTAATAACTTCACTTTGGGAAATATATCTAAGATTAAGAAGTTAAATCAATCACACAAGTGCCAATGTTGATTTCATAGTCACCCTGAAGTTCACATTTGCAGATCATAGAAGTTCTACAGATCCTGACCGTAGGTCTCTATTCTGGATTAAGTTTTATAGCAGAATGGTTTTTTGGTTTGCCAAAATGAGATTAGGGACCAGGAGCAGGTGCTAAGTGACAAAGTGAGCTGTCAGCAAAAGAAGAGATGTTATCCCTGGCCTGTTTGGCTCAGCGGTTAGAGCGTCGGCCTGCGGTATGGAGAGACCCGGGTTCGGTTCCCGCTAAGGGCACGTACTTCGGTTGCGGTTTGTCCCCGGCCCTGGTTGGTCGTGCGGGTGGCAGCCACTCGATGTGTCCCTTTCACATCGATGTTTCTCTCTCTCTCTCTCTCCCTCCCACTCTATCTGTACAAAAAAATGGAAAAATGTCCTCAGGTGAGGATAAAAAAAAAAAAAAAGAAGAGATGTTAAAAAGCTACCAAAGGAGACAGTGGGGCCCTGCTGGCCTCTGTGACACAGTGTGGTGTAATTATGGAAATTGTACTAGGAAGATCTTGGCCCATCATGAAAAGGTTGACTATAATCAGTTAGGGGCTCCTGCTTAAAATGGGAAGGAAAATGGGAGGACCACTTTTTCTAGTTTATTGTCGGTATATCTGCCTTCCACGTGTATCTCCAGTGTCTTGTCACCAGGGCATTCCATAGCTTATTTTATTTTATTTTATTATTATTTTTTTTTGTTCAGGTAGAGTGGGAGGGAGAGAGAGGAACAGAGAGAGAGAGAGAGAAACATCGACGTGAAAGGAACACATCGAGTGGCTGCCACCCGCACAACCGACCAGGGCCGGGGACAAACTGCAACCGAGGTACGCGCCCTTAGCAGGAACCGAACCCGGGTCTCTCAGGACCGCAGGCCGACGCTCTAACCGCTGAGCCAAACCGGCCAGGGCTCCATAGCTTATTTTAGATATAATGTTTTTTTTAAACCATCTTCTTCAAACCCCACTTCTAACCCACTTTGTGTTAGTGGGAGATTTGTTAGAATAAGATTGCTCAGTTCTACAGGGGAATTGATAAATTCAGTATAAAAATAATCATAATCCCAATGAACAATGCGATTACAGATGGATCTAAATAAGTGCATGAGAAAGATAATGAGATGAAAGAAAATACTTGGCACTTGTTTGAGACAGCAGGATGTTTGAGGCAACATTTAAATCATGTTAATTGACAAACTATATTTTAATATTTTTAGGATAAAATAATAACTTTTGTGAGCATCATGCCATTGTAAATCATACTATTGAAAACTTGTTCTTTTAAAACACACAGGGCAAGTGTATACAATTAATACGACAGTGGCATTGCATAAAATGTGGAAAAAAGGAAAAGCATGGCTAACTAACATCCCCGCTGCACAGTATATTATGTCAGCAAACCCTCTTTGAGGGCTTGCTGTGTGCCAGGCTCTGGGGTGCAGTCAACAGAAGCACTGTGCTCATTTTCTAGTGTGGCAAATAGACAAGGAGAGAAGCATCGTCTTTGTAATGAGTATTGACAGAGAGAGGAGGCAGTAACTAGGCTGGAGGGAGCGAGGGGAGAGCGGCCTGGAGACACCCAGGCCCAGTGCACAGGCATGGGAAATGCAGGTGCCTGGCTAGGCTCAAGATAGGTTACAGTGAAAGAGCTTTTATAAAATCTAGAAGAATGGAAACCAAAGAGAGGAATTTAAGAAGAATTATAAGGTAACTTTTTTTCCACTGTATGCAACCACCTCCAATGAGTCCTATCGGTAAATACCAAAAAGGCATCTTTTCCTCTTAGCAAGATAGGGATAGATGGATATTTCTTTATGAGAATAATTATTATTTAATCTGACAGCCTAAATACTTTACAGTAGTGGAATGATGAATACACACACACACACACACACACACTCACACACACTCACATACAGTGGGGTAATGGAAGATGTGTCAGCTCTAACAAAAACAAAGTAGATGTATAGGGACTCTCACAGGAATATTATCAGACATATTTAGTGACAAAAGCAAGCTTTATAATTTAAAGGTACAGCATGAACCCATGTATAGATAAACAAATTTAAAACTGCATTTCATTGTATATTTGCACATACATGAATACAAGCAAAAAAGGTCTGGGAGGATACATACCTAATTAGTAAGGAAAAGGCTTTCTCTTTTTACTGTGTTTTAGTCAGTATTTTTTTATTTGAACATTTTACCATGTGGATGTATTAATGTATTCTTGGTGTAATACATACATGAATGCGCACGTGTGGGTATACGGGCTCTCAAATCTAAAGCTAGCAGCCTATCAAATGATAAAATGCTAACTGGATTCACATTTGAACGAGACAAGGATGGCCACTCTCACTATTATTGGCCATTGTTTTGGAAGTTATTAGATAACATTGCTAGCTAAGAGAAAGAAACGAGGCATAAATATTAGAAAGGAGGAGGCAGAAATGATCATTTGTTGGAGATGAAATGATTGAATTATTGTATACCTGCAGAGCCAAAGAGAATTGTCTGGACAAACTTAGAAACAACAGATAAATATGTATGTATTCCATGTATGTAGAAACTTAGTTTGGGAAGGGTACTTAAAGGAACTCTTTAATAAATGGTTGTCTCTGGGGAGTCCTGAGGGATCAGAAGGGAAACTTTTGCTTACTAAATATTTTAATTTTTCACTTTTACTTTGAAATAACATTTTGTCTCACTTTTATGTGTTAATGTAGCAAAAAATAGTTAAATTAAAAATTAAGTAAAATTTTATTTGAAGACCTTTTCCCCTGATAATCAAGTTAAGACAGTAATACATAGAAAAATATGGAAAATAAAAGGAGAAAAGTAAATCCCAGAAAAAGGTAACATATTTGAATATATGAAACAAAACATTTTGTAACAAAATGGCACCTTTGTGAGTAAAATTAAACAACAGCATGCCAAAAAAGCATTTGTCCAGTCATATTATGAGGAAGGACCTGAGTCTGGAGTTTAGGGGGAGACAAGTATCGAAAGGCAGAGAAGTGACCTAAGTGTCCCACAAGTGCGCCAGGTGACTTTAATATTCTTCCGTTGTTGAGAACAACCACCCTGCCCATTCATTGTGGTTTATTATTTGTAGCATTGCATGGGGCGGGGGTCATAGAGGACTGTCTGATCCAGATCTGCTGGTGGGGCAGGGAGGTTGGGAAGGCTGCCTGGCTGATTTAGTCTTTAGAGACTGAAGGAGCCGGCCAGGTAAGATGGGCCTAGGCCACAAAGAGCAGTATGGTGTTGGGTGTGTGTCAGGATGTGTGTGCAGAGCAAACCACAGGTAAGTGTGTGTTTCTAGATCTTCATTTTTATTCAACAATATTTGATTCATTTGTTTCTAAGAAACTAACTTTGAAGGTGGAAGGGTAGGAGGCTGAAGAGAAAGAGGCACTAGATCAGAGGGTACCTTATTTGATGTTGGAATACTTTGGGCTTTTTCTTTAGGTAGTGGGGAGCTATTGAAGGATTGTAAGGCATGTGACTGTGTGCAGAATGGGTCTGAGCGGGGCGTGGGGGTGGGGGACGAGGCTCTGGAATTAGGACAGTCCTGAGGAGACTACTGCAGTTTCCTAAGTGAGAGGAGAAAGCCTGAATAGGTCAGTGCAGGACAGGCCCAATTAAGAAATATTTGGAAGGAAAAATTGGCAGTATACGTGAATATTGATTGGATGTGGAAAGTTATACTAAGGAGGAATCCAAGATGACTCCCAGGTTTTTATTTCTGGTGGTGCCACCAGCTGAGACACAGTAAAGGCTTGGCATGGAGAGATTCATGGGCTCAGTGAGGTGGTAGTTGAAAATGTGGACTGCAGGAGGAGTAGGTTTGGAACTGAAGATGTTTCACTGTGGCTGTTAAAGATAAGGCAATGTAGACAGTCCACAAGCTGGGGAAAGTGTAGGCTAGAGAGAGATCTGGGTAGTACCGGACACCTCCAGTATGGTTGAAATTTCCTAGGTAGAGTTTATAGCATGGATTAGAAGAGGGTTAAGGATGGAACTCTGCACCTCAAATGTAGTAAGTTGGGAGAAGCAAAGGAACCCATAAAGAAGCTAAAAGCGGAGAGGTGGGGAAAACCAAATGAGAGAGGGCACTTCCAGAAGTCATGGGAGGAGACAAGTTTTGTGAAGAAAGCTGCTTCACATTGTCAGGTAGCAGAGTTGAAGTACAGACGGACTGCGTCTGTTAGATTTGCCAGTTAGGGGTTTAGTAGTGACTTTGGCAAGAAGAGCTTCAGTGGGGAGTTGAGCAGAAACCACATTACATGGTTGAAGAATGAATGGAAGATGAAGTAGAGCTGGAACATGTGGACGTTTCTTTCAGAAAGACAAAGCTAAAGCTAGAGTGGAAAGAAAGAGGCTTTATTGCCTTTGCAAGAACAAAAAGACCACTTGATTTTTTTTCTATGTAAAAGAAACAATTATGTTATTTCCCAGTTTTCATAGAGAATATTATGTGTTTCTTTGCTATGTTTTCAAAAATTATCGTATGTGTTGAAACTATTACCAAAATAAGAATAGAGCTTTCAGCTACTTTAATGAAGAGCAGAAATTGAACTCAGGCAGCCTTATCTTTAGACATAAATTATATACCTCCTATGTCCATAGGTTGAGGGACATGGCAATAAATTGACTTAAATGATTGTGCAGAGTAGAATCCTTTAAAGATAGTACTGAAATGCCAGAATATTTATCAGTTTATACTCAGTGATTTCTCTCTTCAGAAGTGAGTTCTAGCCCTTAAGTGTTATTTGATTTTAGTTTATGTGGATAATAAATATTTTGACAATATAATACTACCATAGTAGTAATAGTGTACATGGTTAGATTTAATTTATGTAAGATTGCATTTCACTGCAGGTACTGATGATGTTGTAGGTCCTGAAGGCATGGAGAAATTTTGTGAAGACATTGGTGTTGAACCAGAAAATGTAAGTCTGACTTACTAAGTCGGGTGAATCAGTTGATTATTTTTCTTAAGTTTTTTGTCCCTTGACATATAAAGCAACAATAAAAAAGTAATGGTGTGTTAGTTTTTATGAGGCAATCTAAGAAATAAGTTTCAATTCTAATTTGATTTGTAAGTGAAATTTTTTGTTGTAATTGGTATGGTGTACAGTCAATTTTTTCTCTCATGTTTAATTTTTTGTTATATAAAAGGTACAGTAAGTAATAAGGTAGTTAAACTAGATTTTTAAAAAGTGGTGTGGGCATGCATACCTACAGTGACAGATCAAGCAGGGGACTGAGGCTCAGAGTTGTGTCCCTTTGTCTCCCTCCGTGGTGGTTTCAGCCTAGTGTAGAGTTTATCCAGGGCTTGGAATAAGCGTTTTGAGTAGGTCTTAATTATCAAGAATTTTTCATAGCTCTTTTACTTCTATTTAAATTTAGCTCAGAAAGTGATTGCTTTTTAGTGTAAAAGTCCTAAGTACTTCCCTTAAAAAATCTAATTGCAAGTTATTTTATACGCTTAATTATTTTTGCCTAATTCTTATCATGTTATTGTTGGATATTTTTTCCTGTTCCCACATGTACTCTCTTACACTAAAATGAAAAATTTTGCTCATACAAATGCCCTGGATCATTAACCTTGTAGTTTAATATTGCATTGGCCTCCAATTTAACAACTATGCCTTAGAACCTAAATGAATTTATGATCCGGAAGCGATCTCAAGATCACCCCCTTCATTCGGGCTATTTGCAGGATGTCTGGTGCCCATGAATGTATGATATGCTCTTAAAGAAAACTAGGAATTGCCCTGCCCAGTTTGGCTCAGCTGTTAGAGCGGCGGCCCACAGACTGGAGTCACAGGTTCGATTCTGGTCAAGAGCACATGCCTCAGTTTTGGTTTAGTCCTCGCCCTGTTCAGGGTAGTGCTGGAGGGAGCCAGTTGATGTATCTGTCTCACGATGTATCTGTCTCACATCGATGTTTCCCTCCCCTCCCTCCCTCCCTCCCTCCCTCCCTCTCTCCATCCATTCCTCCGTCCCTCCCTCCCACTCTATCTGATGGTAAATGGAAAAATATCCTCAGGTGAGGATTTAAAAAAAAGAAAACTAGGCATTGAGACTTCACACTTTTTTATTAAAACATTTTTTTGTTGTTTTTAACATTTCTATGCCTGTGTCCTCCCCCACTTTAATAACATTGTAAATTTTCTGAAGAGCCTTTGAAATGTCTTTAACTTACGATCTAGTTCAGGTATCTAGATAAATTATTCAGCTTGGTGTAAAGATTTGGGGACAACTGGGTCAGTAGTATTCTGCCTGATCCGATCCATAGAGGTCGAATATAACATTCACGGACTTTGAGAAGGACGTGTCCTGATGAGAGCTGGGCTGAGGTGGACAGGGCTTTGTGAACTGGGCTTGAGAGGGGCTCAGGGATTCCATCCAGAGGACAGCAGCGCATGTCTGATCAAAGGAGTGGGCCACAGGGCCAATGGTGAGGAGATTAGGAGGCCTGGGTCCGGCTGCTGGTGTGGGAGGGATTATGTGAACGTTGATGCCCAGAGGTGGGAAGGCTTATTGGGGGCGAGGAAGTGCTGATGTTAATTCTAACTACAAAGGGGAGGACCCCAGCTCTTCCAAGTTCCTCACCCCCCCATACCAATACTCAGAAAAAGAGAGCTGCTAATATTACTCCTTTCTGGGCAGTTATGAGTCCTTTAGCTCTCTCTTTCTGTAGAAATAGTGTTGAAATGTTGAAACATGCACATTGAAGACTTAAAAGACCTAATTTAGAATATTATTTTAAAGCATTTATTACTGTACTTCAATTCTCATAGAAGTTATATAAGGCATATCATCACTAAGAAAGAAAAAATGTTCCTAAATAAATTCTGATAAGCTGTTAATTGGGGATACATCACAACTTCAGAAATGTGAAATTTGAATTTTCAAATGTGGACATTTGAAAAAAGAGCAGCAAAATAGTTTTTAAAAGGCCATTTACATCAATGAGTAAGCACTTTAAAGTATTTAAAACTCTCACCTTGCCTGATATTTACAACTTATGAAGTTTAAACAGGTTGTAAAATTCAAGGCTGCTTTCATTAACTAAGGTAACAGCAAGATCCTTTATTTAAGTAGCTAGTCTTCTTATTAGCTATCATAAGAAAAGGTCTGTTTTGTGTAAAGAAATACCCACGTGAGCACTCACTTTGGCAGTTTAGACACACTTCATGTACACTATCTGTGTTCTTATGCCTTCACCATTTTTTAAAACATGTTTATGTGGAATTTTTAATCTTTCTAGTAGAGGGTTTTGAGAATATACCCAGTTTGAATGAGAAAATGTGGGTTAATTCAAGAGATGAGGAGAAAATCCTCTAATGTGTGAATATTTTGAAGAACATATAACTTCTTTTGGGGAAATTCTCCTAAGTAGCCCATTGCTCTCGTAAGTTACTATTTTTTAACCTATTTAACAATCGTTTTGTGATGCTGTGCATGATAATGTAGAAACATTGGTTTATTAATCAGTCCTCGCAATATAACTAGTAATCTAGATTTTTGAAATCTAAAACCCCTGGTGACTTTAAAAATTGATGTGTACTGATTTAATTGACATTTGATGAAAGAAAATTTAAACAGGAAAGTACTTAGTCCTACCATTGTAGCATAGCTGTTTTGATTATTTTGGTGTGGTGCCCCACTGGGAAGAGCTTGGGCCCCGCCTCGCCACCTGTGCCCATTCCTGGCACTGCGCTATTTATGTGGAATATTGGGCTACTTCTATATACTTCGCCCAGTCTGTACAGTTGAATTTACACATTAATGCATTTGTGATAGAACCCCACTGTATATGTTCCACCACCCACCTTTTTTTTAACACTCTGTTCTGCATCTTGCTCTTTTCGTTTAATGAACCGTGGAGAGTGTTCCCTATTTGTACCCATAGCTCTACTCTATTTGTCTTAATGGGGGTATAGTATTCCTTTATGTGGAATGCATTTAGCAAAGAAGGATGTAATAACTAGTCCCTTATTTATAAATGTTTGTTTCTAATCTTTTGCTTCTACAAATAGTACTACGGTAAGCATTGTTGAATATACATGTTAGCAGACATGTGCAGGTATATCTGTCTATAAGATAACTTTCTATAGGTGGAATTGCTGAGTCAATAACTGGTTTTAATTTTGACAGATACTGCAAAATTGCCCTCTGGGAAGGTTAATCTCTTTATACTTTTACCAGCATGCATTATAGGAGCTTGTGTTTCTCTAAACCCTTGTCAGCAGACTGAATTATCAAACTTCTAGATGTTTGCCAAACTAGAACTCATTTTTGAAGGTACTCTGTTCATATTTTAGTGCCTAAACTACCGTGAACAGAAGCATTTGGCGAGATGTTAATGTATTTAATTGCCGAGATCTGTTGTTCTGATTTGATTGGGCTTTCTATTTTTTTTTTTAAACAGGTAGTTATGCTTGTCCTAGCTTGGAAATTGGATGCACAAAATATGGGTTATTTTACTCTACAGGAATGGTTAAAAGGAATGACTTCTCTACAGTAAGTCCTGAGACTGTACTTGGGGGGTTACTCTTCTCCCAAGCTGGCTGCCTCCTCCCTGGGATCCCAGGGAGCATGGGATGAGTGCCTGGAGGAAGGCCAGGTGATCTGGGCGGACTTCTACTGGGCCACGTGCCGTTTTTATATGATGAGGAGGGCTTTGTGGTTGAATTTTAGCAGTTAAAGTTTTTATGTGAGTGTATATTACTCATTTTAGTATAAATATATTATAGAGCAGCTCTGCCCAATAGAAACAGATCAGCCTTTTCTCATATATGTGAGCCACATATATAATTTAAAAATTTCCAACAGCCACATTAAAAAAGTGTAAAGAAACAGATAAAATTAATTTTAATGTATTTTATTTAATCCAAAGTATTATTATTCCAGCATGTAATTAATATTTTAAAAACCATAAGCTGTTATACATTATTTTACACGTTACATCTTCACAAGAGGATGTATATTTTACATTTATGATACATCTCAGTTCACATGAGCTGCATTCCAAGTACTCAGTAGCCACATGTGTCTAGTGGCTAGAGCTTAAAAAGCAAAGGTCTGTTTGAATCTGGTTTACAGTTAGTGAGAAAAAATGGAGTAAAGTATAACTTGTAAGTGAAAATGTTTGATTTCTTCTATTTTATATATTCTATTTTAGCTTAGGGTAAAACTGGAATTTCATTACTCTAGTGATTAAAAGATAGTAATAATAATAAAGATTCTATTTGTATTACCTGGCCTAGAATAAGAAAAAAAAAAAAAAAATCAGTGGTTTTATGTTTCACTTTGTGCTTGTGTGTGGTGTGTGTGTGTGTGTGTGTATGTATGTGTGTACTTGCTAAGAGTTTCATTCCAGAAAACATAAATTGTTCTGTACTATCCATTGAAGGGTACAGTCGAGGTGGACAACTGAACATTCCAGATGGTATTGGAAGATGCATAGCTTTGATCTAGAATTTGGAATGACTTCTCTTTTTCTTTTCACTTTAGGAATAAGATTTCAGTTTTTATTAGATTAAAATTGGAGTTGAAGTGGTCTTTTATTTATATAATTTTGGGATTTGTCAACTTTTAGTATCATTGTCCATTTGTTATTGATGATAATGCTTTATTTGCATTGTGCTTGAGTAGTTTATGAAGCCTTAACACTTTCCCATGTGAGCCTCATGGCTACTGGACAGGTCAGGCTGGGTCCTTGTGCAGTTTACAAATGAGGAAACAGAGGCTCGGAGGGCAGATGTAGTTTGTGAGTAAGTGGTAGAGATGGGGAAAAACCCACAACTTCTAACAACTTATTGTCTGATGGCAAATGAGTTTTAGGTAAAAGCCAGATCACCTTTTTATAAATATACTTTCCTCTCAGAATACTCTAGAATTTTACAATTAAGTCTTTGAAATCTCTAAAACTGTGTTGTCATGTTGGCCAAGAACTCCTTGATTTTAGCCTTCAATTCACTGTTTCCCTTGCTGCCTTTCTCTGTTGCTTTCTGAATGGAGTGTGTGATGACTGCTCTTTTGAAGTGTCTTTGTGATGATGACTGCATGGTCATCTCCAGTTTTTATTTCAGGGCTTCAGAGGGGGCATGGTCACCATTTTTTCAGGCACATTTTCATTTGTGTTAAGAGAATATAATACTCGTTTTCGTGTAGTTCTAGATTTTTTTTACATTTGCCTTTATGAAAGATTGCATGATGCCCGGCCTTTCCCATGTGTTTTGAAGCCTCACCACCTAGGAAGTAAGATGTGTGGTAACTGGAAGAGGTCGACACGTATGTTTTAAGGGGGAGCGGGCACTTCGTAGGCTCTTTGTTGGGGACTCTGCTTGGTGGCAGGTGGGTTCCTATCAAAATCAGGGTGTAGTGACAAGCCTGGTCCTGTAAAGACACTGAGGAACCTGCTTTCTTTTTGTGATAGGAAACTCAGAGATTGGTTTGCTCATCAATGAGGTGGAGATAATTACTCGGAATGACCTGTAAGGTTTTTTGTAGTTCAAAAATAGACCAATTTCATGGTTTCAGAACCTTTTCCTTCTCCTCCTTCCAGCCTCCCTAGATTTATTACTTGTTCAGCAAATATATGAATGATAGTGACGTGCCAAGCACAGTGTTCTAGGTTCTGGGGAAACAAAACTGATGAATGTGACAAAGTTCATTTGGGGTTGGGGCTTGGAAGCAATGTTCAGGCAAAAGATCCAAAAGTAGTAAGGTCAGTTCTCTTTATGCTACATGAATGAACTAAATAGGTTCTGTATTTGTAAGGTGTGCATACCCAGTAAATAAGAAAACTCAGAGGCCAATCATTTATATGCTCTAAAGATGGGAAGTTTTGGACTCTAGAGTGGAAGTGTGTTAGAAATAGCCCATGGGTTTTGGAACCACATAGTTTCGAATCAGTTTGGCCATTTCCTAGGTGTCTCTGGTAGCATTTCTAAAACCAGGAAGGTGAAATGATGAAATATGGCATACACGTGAGTACTCAGAAATTTGTATGGACTCTGTCTTCTTGGCACTGTGTAGAGAAATTGTGGGCGTGGCTTCTCCAGGGCCCGGAAGAAGTGACAGCAGCTGGTAGGGAATGTCTGTCCCCAAGCTCCCTAGGTCATTCTCAGAGAAGGTACAGCTCTTGTTTTAATTGACTATTTATTTATTTATTACCTTGTTTCAACATGCGGGTTTAAGGCTACTACTGATGAATTAAGCTTTATAGCAGCAATTTTCAAGTGCTGTGCTATAAGAATTTTTAAAGCATGTAATACTAGACTATTTTAGTCAGGGGCACTGAGCTCTTTTCCCTTAGACTGTCAAATAAAAAATGACAACAGCCAAGACAACCATAGCCATCTGGTGTGAATGAATCAAAATTACATCTATTTTTTTTTTCTTTTGGTCAAATTGGCAAAAAATGTAATTTTTGGTGTGCCGCAGAATTTTAGTAATTAGTTTATATGTGCCATGAGATGAAAAAGGTTGAAAATAATTGCTTTGTAGGGATATTTAAGCTAAAAACAAAAAGAAGTGTGTTAGAGTTGTAGCTAACTTTGCATAGAACTGGTAGGGGCTGGAAAATACCTTTGGACTGACTGACTGAGTGAAGGGGTAAAGGCCTTTTCTGGGTAATGGGGGAGAACTACCTTTGGTTTGATAAGTTTTGAGGATTATTGTCCTGATTTCTGTTGATTCCGAATGTGTTTTGTTTTGACAAATGATCCTCTGTAGCAGTGTGGCACTGTCGCTCTACAATTTCTAGGTGTTTTCTTATAGTTGGTACACAGAAAAGCAGGGGGAAACGGACTGAAGATACGGCTGCTTCCAGGTACATCTCAGCTGGTTGCTTACACTCCCCAAGCCTGTTTCTTCACAGGCCCTTTCTGAGAACTGGTGCTTCTGCAGATGAGCTTGTTGAGTGGCCACTAGATGGCAACCTGTGGTTCAGACCTGGCGACTCAGTGGCCTGCTTCCCCAGTGGGGGTTGGTCCAGGGGGTCTGTTGGATGAAGCCCCTTTTAAAGCAGATTAAGCCCTTTATTGATATCATCTCTAACCCATGTAACTATCCTTGATAGATAACGTAAAATTGAAATGTTACTTTGGGCATTTTATGCTTTATACTCCAGGCAAGATCTCTGGTCTTTCAAACATAGGGACATCTTTTACCAGGGTGGCTGGACGCACTCCCAGACATACTGCAGAACTTGACATTTTGCCTTGCAGCTCTACCCAGAGACTCGCAGCTTCTTTATTTCCTTTTAACTATGTAGCAGTTATCTAAGCGAATGCTTCCTGTCCTTGAATCTGTTGAAACAAACAACTGCTCTTCTTCTCATTGAGCAGGACTGAACTAAATCACTGGCCACAATCTGTCCAATTTCCTGTGGCTTTGGTCCTAAATTTTCCTTTCAAGTGAAGGGCAGGGACCTTGACCTTACATGTTTTGGAGTTAGCTTTCTCTCCTCTTTGACCCTCCCCCATATTATTAATACAATATTATTTATTTATATACATGGTAATAAATAAAACCATACAGTAGAGTGCCCAATGCAAAGTAAGTTCTGCTTCCACTTACTGCTTTCTTGTGTGTCCCTTTATCCTCCATTGGCCCTTTTCCCCCCTTCCCCACCCTTCTCCACAAAGATCCAGAATGAACTTTACAAGATGCAAGCCTGATCCTAATCTCTCCCATGGTAGGAGGTGGCTTCCACTGGTTCTAGAATTCAATTAAAAAATAAAACACTGTAGACACCACAGGAATCTTTATGGTCTGGTCCCATGCCCCTTTCAACCTCATCTTGTACCATTTTCCCCCTTACTCTGCCTTCTCTAAACACAGTGGTTTTCTTTTCGTCTTTGGACTTTCCATGTTCTCTTGAATCGCAAGGCCTTTGCACGTGCTGTTCCTTTTATATGGAAACCGTCCCCTCCAAAAACATTGAGTGTCTTCTTATCTTTCAGCTCTCAGTTTACATGTTAGTTCCTTAAAAAAGCCGTTTCTGACTTCTAAAATAGTCTGATTTTAATCTTTTCTTTTTTTAGCCTTCAAACACTAGGGAGAAATAAAGGACATTCTGAATTGTTATAAACTCACAAATGAGACATTTATTCTAATTTTTGGCTTTTAGATATTTTATTTCAATAGATCATGGGGACTTTTTTGTAGTTAGCTTTCACAAATTTATTGCTAAAATAGATCAGTGTGTTTTATTATGAACCATACTTAAGTTTATAAAGTGTTGACAGTATTTACATTGATAATACTTATAATGTGTGGTCTACACTCAGTAGAAGGTGAAAGCTCTCAGAGATACACAAGGAAATACATCCAGCATTGGAAAGCTTTAGTATCGCCAATGAAGATGGTAACTCTTGGTTCTCATTTTTAAGGGCCAGATATTACAAACAGAAAATTAGTTTGTAAAAATAACCAATTAGTCTACTTCCTTAGGAAAAATAAACAGTGTCACTTTCCTGTGAAAAGAGGTTATCACCAGGGCTGTCTAGAGAAATAGCTGATTTCGAGTCTAAGCAGGGAAAGTACAAAGTGAGCTGGAATATCTTGTACCAGAAGTGAGGACGTGCTCAGAGACGGCTGGGGGCATGTCTGGAGGACGCCGGGCCAGCTCCAAGGGGCCACGGCCCAAATGAGGACAGTTTGTACATCGAAAAGAATAAAGACAGTAGTAGCTTATAACACTGAATAAAAAGCAAAAATCCTTAACTCCAAAAAATAAGGGAAGTCGTGAGTAGAACTCTTCTTTATAGAAGAATTCCAGCCAGTAAGCATGAAAGCATGATAGAGGTGGGAAAAAAAGTCACCATTTTTCATCTTCAAATGTAAACAGTTCAGGCTATGTCATCAATGAATGGCAGAACCACCGAGGGAAGGTTATTGAGGAGCAGGATTCAGAGTCTCTAGGTACCATCCCACAGATTATGACTATTTCAGAGGGGACAAGTACCTTTACATGGGGAATCTAGTGGACACCACCATATCCAAGCGAATCAACTCAGTGTCACCCGTGATGGGATAGACTGATGTATGAGCCTTCTCATGGGGTGCACTGAGAAGGGCATCATGTGTAGTGTTCTTATCGTACATGTTTAACCTAAATATAATCATAGACAGATTGAGATTCTACAAAACAACTAGTCTGATCTCTTCAAAAATGACATTGTCAAGAAAGAAAAAAGGAGAGACACCCTTCCATAGACTAAGGAGATATGACAACCAGAAGTAATGCGCGAGCTTTGATTGGATCCTGGATTGAAAACAGCAGCAGCTACAAAGAAAATTAGGGGAACAATTGGGAAATTGACAATGTGGGTTGTATGTTAACTAAGAAAGTTATCATTGATAGAATATTAAGAGTGATGATGGTATTTAAGTGTTTAGGGGTGTCATGATGTTGACAACTTTCAAATAATACAGAAAAAAGTGTGTGTATGTGAGAGCACAAGTGTGACAATGTTTATTGTGAATCGAGGGGATGAGGAATGGGTGCTCATTTACTCTTCTTTCAACTTTTCTGTACATTTGACATTTTTTAAAATAAAACGTAGGAAAAACAGGTGATTATGGATGTGTTCTAACTCGAGTTTTTATTGTTTTTTTTGTGGGTTTTTTTTGTATTATGTTTTATATTACTGCCCCAATTAAGAAAAAAAGTCAGGTTATAATTTGCCTTTATTCTGTTTTTCTAGATGTGATACAACAGAAAAACTCAGAAATACTTTGGATTACTTAAGATCATTATTAAATGATTCTACAAACTTTAAACTTATTTACAGATACGCATTTGACTTTGCACGGGTGAGTTCTCTGGAGCCTATCCAGATGTTTCCCTCTCCTCCTTCCCTTTTTGTTGCCTTTTGAGGTTTGCTTTTACGTACTACAGCAAAGAAGTTAAATAAGTTACTCCCAGGATGCTAGTTAGAATTTATTTCTACATGTACACTTTCTAAACCAATTGATTCTGGGGGAAAATGTAGTATGTTAGCAAAAAGCTGTAGTGGCAGACCCTTATTGGTCCTTGGAATTGTCTTAGACCTAACTTGTAAATGGGCATGTAATAGACACTATTCTAAATAGCTCTTCTGTAAACTTGGAAAAGCTCTTCCTTTTCATGAAAACAAACCTTCACCCGTTGAGTTTATTGAAATAAGCTAATTAGATCTAATCTATTTTCACTTTGGGTGCTATATTGTATTTGGAAATCATTTGACTTTTTTTTTTTAGAATTTCAAACCTAACCTAATTTCAGTGAACATTTCTAATCATTTTGAAAAGTGATCATATTGTTACATAGTGAACCAGGTCAAAATATGTGACAGTGGTTCTATTGGAGTGAAATAAAGTCTTGTTTTTCAGCCTGATAACCATAGGTAGGATTCTGGGGCACTAGTTGGCATTGTGTTCATTCACGGACAATCTGTAGCTCATACAATTATACTTTACTCAAGAATAATGTTTTCTGTAATGTTTGTGTGTTTAGTGGATTCAGGTGACTAGGTTTTCTTGATTGGTTGCATTTTTTAAATGAATTTTTTATTAAAGCAGAGAACTCAGTAACAAATGATTTTTTTTTCCTACCACCATGCTGAATTTTTTCACATTTTACTTGCTTTGGCTCTGCCAGTTCAGCACCAGAGATTTATTCGGTGGTGAGTTCTGGTGCCTCTACAATAATACATTCATAGTTTTCTGTGTTGTCCTCACTTGGGAATTTTTGCGTTATTGCAACCTTCAAATAAAATGACAACATGCATGAAAATTCATAGGTGTTAGAAATTATATAGTAAGATCCAGTTATAATGTTTTACTAAATGGCATTTATATGATTACATATAAAGGAGTTATTGGCCGGATGCTTTTAGAATATATTCATAGTTTCTAGGATTAAATAATTTTTTACATGAGATTTTATCTTCCTCCCAAAGTCAACTGTTTTCTTACTGTGTGGGTCACAATTTGTTTAGAAGCATTACAGCTTGAAAATAGGGCTTATTTTCTAACTTCCCTGTTTGGGGGTCAGAGTTTCCACATGTCCGTGCTTTAGTCCCAGGTTCCGTTTTACTCCTCCCGGGCTTCCCATCCCATCCTGGGTGAGCCTCCGAGCCATCCCCCGAGGGCTCCTTTGGTTGCATCTGCCTTGGTGCATCTCCCGCGGCCTCCCGGTTGAGGTCCTTGTACTGCTTGCTTGTGCTGCTCCAGTAGCCGTCTTTCCACATTCTCTCGTCTAGCATTCACAGCAGCAGGTGTCATTCATCTGCCTTCAGCCCAGGGTCTCTCGGCCACCTTCCAGCTCACAGAAGCCTTCAGTACCTTCCCTGTGACACATGACGCTCGGCCCAGTGTGTGGTGCCGTTGCTCCCACAGCACCTCTGAGGGACAGACAGGGATGCGTTCAGTCTGCTTCACAGAGCAGGAAAGTGGGCCCCAGAGAATGGAGAAATTGGACCATGGTCCCATTGTTAATCAGCGGTAGACCAGGACTCACACCCAGGTTCTGGCTCCCAGTCCAGTCTGCAGGCCCCTCCAGGCCCTTACAGTCGAGTCCCAAGCGTCCTCTCTTGTGCGATGCCTGCGGCGCCCGTGTAGTGAAGTGGAATTAGCTGTTCACGGAACCTGCCTCCTGCCTTTTTGGCCTTTCTGCTTTGTCTTGCCATGGACTCCGGCGAGAGCCCTGTTTGGACTCACCCCCTCTCTGCATTGTTAGGCTTCTGAGCCCCCGCTCCCCCTTTCACACAGCCTGGCCGGCTCCTCGTCCGGGGGGGCTGTGCCTCCGCTGCCACGCGCTCCTGTCCGCTCTGGCTTGGCTGTGGAGCTCGGGGAAAGGCTTTAACTTCGCCCTGGCCGTTTGGCTCAGCGGTTAGAGCGTCAGCCTGCGGTCCAGAGAGACCCGGCTCGGTTCCCGCAAAGGGCGTGTACTTCGGTTGCAGTTTGTCCCCGGCCCTGGTTGGTCGTGCAGGTGGCAGCCACTCGATGTGTCCCTTTCACGTCGATGTTTCTCTCTCTTCCTCCCGCTCTATCTGAACAAAAAATGAAAAAATGTCCTTGGGTGAGGATTTTTAAAAAAAGGCCTTCACTTTGCTCCAGTTTAAGGGACCACGTGTTTTCTTTGTAGGTATCCCCAGCAGCATTCAGCAGAGTTCTTTGCTTTTAAGGAGAGGATCAGTAAATAACAGTGAATTAAGCTGTTTTACATAATGATGAATAACAACCACTGTTCAGCTCCATTATGCTGTAAGATAAATTTGTTATTGAGTCCTTTTTTTTTGTTTTGTCTTCTTTATTAGCTCTGTCTCACATGTTTTTGGAACTGTATTTTCATTTGCATTCAGTTAAAAATATTTTTCAGTTTCCCTTGTGATTTTTTTTTTTTTTTTTTTACTCTGGTTATTCCGAAGTGTGTTGTTTGTGTTCTTTTCCAAGTTTTTAGGATTTTCCAAGTAATCTTTTTATTATTGATACCTAGTTTAATTCTGTTCTGGTAAGAAAACATACCCTGTGCTACTTAAGTCCACTTAAGTGTATGGAGGCTTGATTTATAGTCCAGACTAAGGTCTGCTGCGATGAATGTTTTATGTGTACCAGAAACAGAGTCTGCTGCTGCTCTGTGGAGTGTTTCATAGATGTCAGCTAGGTCAAGTTGGTGGATAGTGTTGTTCAGTCTTCTGTATCCTTATTGATTTCTGCCTATTTATTCTATCAATTACTGGGGGAGGAGTGTTGAACTCTCCAACTGTAATATTTCTCCTGTCACTTCTCTCATTATTTTTGTTTCATGTATTCTGAAGCTCAGATATTAGGTTGAGATACCCTTAGTATTGTTGTCTTCTTGAAGAATTGACCCTTTAGCATTATGAAATGTCTCTATCTCTGGTAGTATTTCTTGTTCTGAAGTCTATAGCCACTCCGGCTTTCTTTGGATTAAAGCCTACAAGATATGTCTTTTTCCATCCTTTTACTTTTAACCTATTTGTTTCTTTATATTTAAAATGGGTTTCTTATAGATAGCATATAGGTGGGTCTGTTTGGCAGTATGTCTAGGAATGCTTAAACCATTTACATTTAGTAATTAATGGTATGGTTAAGTTTATAATATCTCCTATCTTGTTATTCCCCCCATTTGCCCCATCTGTTTTTGTTGTTGTTGTTGTTCCTTTTTCCCTCTTTTCATGAATTCTTTTGGATTGAGTTTTTTTTTTAAGTGATTTCATTTTATTTCCACTATTACCTTGTTAGCTATATCTCTGTTTCATTTTTCTTGTGGTTGCTCTAGGCTTTACTGTATGTATCTTTAAATTTTTACAAGTTTTCTTCAAATGATAATATCCCACCTCATGTATAATGCAAGAACCTTTACAGCAGTATTCTTTCATGGCCCTCTCATGCTTTCTGCTGCTGCTGTCATACACTTCACTTATATGCAGGCTATAAATCTCACAATGTATTAGTCTATTCAGGCTGTTCTAACAAATACCAGAGACTGAGTAGTTTATAAACAACAAAAATTTATTTCTCACAGTTCTGGAGGCTGGGAAGTCCAAGATTAAGGCACCAGCAGATTAGACAGATAGCTGTAACCTCACAGTGTCATAAGGGAGGAAGGGTCTCTCTGGGGTCTCTCTTACAAGACCAATAATCCACATCCATGAGGGCGGGGCCTAATTACTTCCCGAGACCCCGCCTCCTAATACCATCACCTTGGGGGTTAGGATTTTAACATGAATTTTGGAGGAACACAAACATTTAGGCCATAGCATATATTGTGTTATCATTTTGGTAAAAATGTCTTTTCTATTTACCCAAATATATCATTTCTGTGCTCTCCATTTCTTTTGTATAGATACAGATTTCTATCTGGGATCATTTACCTTCTGCCCCAAAAACTTTCTTGAACTTTTCTCATAGTACAGATCTTCTCATAATGAATCATCTAAGCTTTTATTTTGCCTTCAGTTTATAAAGGCACTTCTCTGGATAAAAGATTCTAGGTTGATCAAATGTTCTTTCAGTACTTTAATGATATCTTTCTATTGTCTTCTATCTTGGGTAGCGTCTGATGATAAGTCTAGTATTGCTCATTATTTCTTTGAACATATAACATCTTATTTTCTGACTGTTTTTATTCTCTTCACTGCTTTTCCCAAGTTGATTACAATGTGCGTTGGCATAATTTTCTTTATGTTTATTCTAGTTAGGGCTTGTTGAGTTTTTTGGATCTTTGGGCTTATACTTTGTATTAAATTGGGAAAACTTCCAGTTGTTATTTCTTCCAGTATTTTTTCTGTTCTTCTGCTTTCTTTCTGGGATTACAGTTATACCTGTGTTAGACGCTTGATATTGTTTCACAGGCTTCTGATGTCATGTTCAGTTTTTGGGTTTTGTTTTGTTTTTTTTTGCCCTTTCTGTTTCTTTGGTAGTTTTGATTACCATGTCTTCTAAATATTAGTCTTTTCTTCTGCAGTGTCTAACCTGATGTTAATCCTAGCCTGGGTATTTTTCATTTCAGGTATGTTATTTTTCATCTCTAGAAGTTTCATTTGGGTCTTTTTTTATATGTTCCAGTTCTTTCTTCATCCTGATAACATTTTCACTCTCCTTCTAGAACATCCAGAAAATATTTATCACAAGTGTATTAACAGCTTTGTCTGCAGGCTCCATTATCTCTGCCATTTCTGGGTCTCTTTCTATTAGTTAATTTTTATTTTGGCCATGAATCATATTTTATAGCTTCTTTATAGTCCTAGTAATTTTTTTTGATTGGATGCTAGATATAATAAATTTTATGTTGTTTGTTGCTGGGT